ATACTTATAACTTAACATTAAAATTAGTCAGTATTAGAATAAATTTATAACGAAGTGAAAAATTTCAAATGTACATGATTTTTTGGTTCCTAGATAAAGTGAATCAAGTTAGACAAAATGCATTTATATACGGTATTAAAACTTATAACTATCTACTTAATTTTACAAATGTGTGGGCTTAAAGAATATTTGTATAGGAAGTTACCCATCGTAGTGTATGGAATTGATTTGGATGTGTGCATAGTTGATCAGAATAAAAATATTTCTCAGTGTCGTATTTTTCTATTGTTGTTACGTATTGTGGCCATTAAACAAAAATTGCAAGCAAAAAATAACAGAAGACGAATATAATGTACAGGGCGATTCACCAAGCATGCTTACCTCCTTTTTTCGTCAATAATGCAGTTATTTAAAATCTGGTTTTTGTCATTTTTAAATATGTCATGTATGTACATATTATAAGATTCTTGAAATTTTTTGTATAACTTGAGATGTTGAATGTTCCGATACAAACTTTTGTTTTTCAAATGAGAACTCTCCTATTAATTAATCTATCATCATTAAAAATTTGCATACGTGACCAAAGTATAGTATTATAAATAATAGTTTAAATATTACGTATATTTTATATGTTTGTAAAACCATTTTTAAGGACTATTATGAATAGTACAAACATTTTAACAACTAAGAAACTTCTCACTCGAATTTTGAATTATATGTATATCAACAGTTTCAATCTAAAATCTAAATAATTTACAGAGAAAAAATTGTTCTCATTTGAAAACTATAAGTTCATTTTACCACAAGACATTCCTCAAGTAGAAAAAAAAATGTTATAAATTTAAGATGTGTTATGTGTATTTAAAAATTCCAAAAATCAGAATTTGAATAAATTCATTGTTAAAGGAAAACATTCTTGGTGTATCTGTATAATTGTAACTGTACACTGTATAACTGATGTCTTATTCAAACACAGACTAAACATAAACAAAAACTATATGTAATAATGACAAAATATGACAATGTATTAATATTTTTGTATTTTGAAAACTGTTTAGTTATATTTTCGAAAATATTCGTGTTTATACTATTTATTTTTCTAATTGTCGATGCATAGTTTCACGCCAATGCAATTGTATGAGTTCTTTACTGCCTTTAATGATAATCCTAATAATATCAACATTCTTTAGATGATTTCAGATAGATCATTTGGATATGGTACAAGTAAAGCAGCTCAGCATATAGCTGCAAAGAATACGGCACCTGTATATTTCTATGAATTTGGCTACAGTGGTAATTATTCTTACGCTGGATTTTTCGATAAAAAATCATATCCCCGAGGATCAAGTAAATAAAATATTTTAATTCCTACTTTTGTATGCGTACTATTATTTTTTTTTAAATTCATTATAACTTATGAAAAATTAGATGTAACTCATGCCGATGAAACTAGTTATGTATTAAAAGTGAATGGTTTCTCCGTTTACGACAATGAAGAAGATAGAAAGATGATCAAAACTATGGTTAATATTTGGGCAACTTTTATTAAATCTGGGTAATTATCTGACTTTTATTGTTTGATACTCTAATCAATCATTGTAATGAGTATAAATGGAATCTGATATTAAGTA